ATATATATATATATATGTATGCATATATGTATATATATATACATAAAAAAAAATATACATATATATATATAATATATATATATATCATTTACCAAAATATCTAAAGTTATCTTATTTTGCTGCTACAAATGTTTATAACATTTTAGTAATGTTTATAATGTGTATAATATAAATAACACCATCTATATTTATAGCACTAGTAAAAATACGTTTTTTGCGCCAATTCAAGGAAAGGTGAGATCCTTCATGGCTAAGTACTATCAAAGCCATCTAGTAACAGGGAGATTTCACAAAAAATATAAAATATGAGCACAGAATTTCCCCCATTTTATATTCATATTTGGGAAATGGTTAACATAATCATTTATATATACTATATATAAGTAACTTCTGAATTTCAAATATTTTATACACATATATACATATACATATATATACATTTACAATTATATACATACACATATATATATATACATATATATATACACAAACACAAACATATACATACATACATACATACACAGACACACACACACTCACACACACACACACACACACACACACACACACATATATATATATATATATATATATTTTTTTTTTTTTTTTTTTTTTTTTTTTTTTTCCAACAGCCATTCATTCCACTGCAGGACATAGGCCTCTCTCAATTCAGTATTGAGAGGTTATATGGCGGTGTCACCCTTGCCTGATTGAATGCCCTTCCTAATCAACCGCGGTTCGGCGCGTTAACACTTGTGCCACGGCGGTGACTTCCCCTACGACACCTGCGTTTGACTTCTCAAGCCGATATGTCGTTTTCTCGGGCTCGAGGTAGCAGTCAGAGTGCAGGTATTTTTTACGACTGTCGCGACGGGGAATCGAACCCGGGACCACGAGGGTCGGAGTCCAGTGCTCTAACCACTGAGCTATCGCGGCAGTATATATATATATATATATATATATATATATATATATATATATATATATATATGTATATATATATATATATATATATATATATATATATATATGTATATATATATATATATATATATATATATATATATATATATATATATATATATATATATACATATATATGTATATATACATATATATGTATATATATATATATATATACATATATATGTATATATACATATATATGTATATATATATATATATATATATACATATATATGTATATATACATTATATGTATATATATATATATATATATATATATATTTATATATATATACATATATATATATATATATATATATATATATATATATATATATATATTATGTATATATACATTATATATATATCTATATGTATATATATATATATATATATATATATATATATATATATATATATATATATATTTATATTTATATATATATTTATATATATATATAAATATATATAAATATATATGATATATAAATATATATAAATATATATGATATATAAATATATGAATATATATATATATATATATATAAATATATATGTATATGTGTATGTATATATATATATGTATGCATACATATATATATATATGGATATAGATATGTATAATATATATATATATATAAACACATATATACATATATACATATATATATATATATATATATATATATATATATATATATATATATATATAAACACATATATACATATATACATATAAATATATATATATATATATATATATATATATATATATATATATATATATATATATATATATGTGTGTGTATATATATATATATATATATATATATATATATATATATATATACACATATATATATGTATTTGTATATATTATATATATATATACATTATATATATATATATACATTATATATATATATACATTATATATATATATATATCATATATATATATATATATATATATATATATATATATATATATATATATATTATAAATATATATATATATATATTATAAATATATATATATATATACATTATATATATATATATATACATCTATATATATATATACGTATACATGTATATATGTTATATACGTAAACATATCTATGATATATAAGTATCCATACATATATATATATACATATACAGATATATATGAATATATATATACATATATATAAATGCCTATATATATAAATATATATGTATATACAGATAGTCCCCTACTTAACCCATTCACGCCGGGTGTCACGTATACACGATGTGCCCACTGTGAGTTTACTTGTTTAATTGTTTAAACATATAGATGGCTACACTTGTACTTGTACTGCCTGTCTCGCATGTTTACCCTTTTCTTTAATTTACGAAAATATCTTACGTTATCTTATTTAGCTGTTACTAATGTTTATAACATTATAGTAATTATAATGTTTATGATAAAAATAGCCATCAATATTCATAGCACTAGTAAAAATACATTTTTCCGCTAATTCAAGTAAAGGCGAAATCAGGTAAGGTAGAGCCATGTAGAGTAGAGAAATTTCATTTAAAAATATAAAAAATGAGCACAGCATTTTCCCAATTATTTGTTCATTTTTTACCCGGCGCGAATGGGTTAATAACATTCTACTTACGAATATTCCATACATACAAACAAATTTTAAAAAATACTTAAGTCAAAAAAATTGTTTGAAAGATGCTAGCAAACTTCAAATTTCCCGGGCGCGAATATAGTTCACGAGTCTGCCGCGCTCACTCAGCTGTGCACATCACTCACCTGCCCTCCCGCCATAAACATAAAAGCGCCTGTTCACTGTGTCCTTGTGTACCGCCAATTTTTGTGCCATAATTCTTTACCTGCGCATCAATCGATCAAAAATGCCAAGAAATGTCAAACAAATCCAAGTGAACAAGGTAAATCTTACGAGTTTTCTAATTTTTATTTCAATCATACAATGTTTTCTGTCCTATATTTCATGTGAAATGCTTTCATGTATGTAAATGACATAGCCCTAACGTTAAAATGTGTAATCTAAATGTGAATCTGTAACCTAGCGGTAACCATGGCAGCTGTTTGACCCCAATATACAGACACTTATTTATCCCAGATTTATAGACACCTGTTCAACCCCATTGATCGACGCCATGTTAATCTATCCATGTTTATCGATCTTTCTCAGTATGGTATGGCGTCATCCCCAGTCTAACAGACGTAGGCTTCGTGTTGTGTGACGGCCCTGGTTGTGTTCTCCCCTGCTCAGCTGACCACACGCCATCTTATTGATCGGTTCACCAGCCATCACCACTAAAATATACTTTTTTTTGAATAAATTATGTTTCTACATTAAAGTTGTATGAATCACCATCAAATAATATTAAAAGCATTACATATTACAGGTACTGTATATGGTATGTCGTACTTATTTGGATTTATGTACAGGTATTCTTAATGTAAAAACTTTAAAACAATGGGAGACCCGACTTTGACATACAAACAAATTGACTTTAGAACAGCCTCTCGGTCCCCATTGTGTTCTTAACCCATTCGCACCGGGTGTCACGTATACGTGACATGCCTACTGTGAGTTTACTTGTTTGATTGTTTTTAAACATAGATGGCTACACTTCTACTTGTACTGCCTGTCTCACCCGTTTACCCTTTTCTTTAATTTAAGAAAATTCAAGAAAACATTGTTAAATCAATGTGGGAAACTTGTGATAGCAATATCACCTTGCTAAGTTAACCCATTCACGATGGGTAAAAATGAACAAAAAATGGGGAAAATGCTGTGCTCATTTTTTATGTTTTTTGAAATTATAATAAACATTATAATTACTATAATGTTATAAACATTAGTAACTGCAAAATAAGATAACATAAAATATTTTTGTAAATTAACCCCTTGGTGCCGGGTGACGCCGATCGGCGTGTAAACAAAGAGCTTGAAAGCTGGCGTGCAGCCGAACGAGCCGGCGGCGAGCCAGTGATTCGGGCTGATGTCCCCTACTCACCTATGCCGCCTTTGTTTGTTTAAGCGTAGAGTTTTTTTTTTCTTTTGTACACCCGACGCCATTGGGTTAAAGAAAAGGGTAAACGGGCAAGACAGGCAGTACTGGCAACAAGTGTAGCTATCTATGTGTAAAAACAATTAAACAAGTAAACTCACAGTGGGCATGTCACACATACGTGACACCCACCGCGAATGGGTTAAGTAGACTTTAGTTTTTATAGAAGACAACAAAGCATCTTTCTCAGAATTCTGAGTCATAAAAATTATTATATTACTTATTGGTAAAATAATACATTTTGTATCTTATCATATCAAAAGATGAGTCCTCCTAACCAACACCTCAAATCTTTTTAAAAAATCCTGGCAATGTCCAAAATACAAATCTTTGACCACAAAATTGTTACTGAAAGATATAATCATAAGGAAATATAATGACTCAAATTTCTGGTTCTGTGGGATGGTTCAAGACATCCAGTTTTCATCAATGTTGAGATGTGAAACTTCAAAAAACAGAACTAATACAGCTCAAAATAATTTCTAGTTGAAAAAATTAACAGCAATTAATATTGCCTATGGTTAAGGTTCAACTTTTCTGATACTATTATTGTCCCCCAATGGCAGTGGGTAATATGCACTGGGCGAGACAAGCAGTACTTGTAATTGGCTCACTGGTGACTTAGTACAAGTGTAGCCATCTATGTGTAAAAACAATCAAATGAGTAAACTCACAATGGGTATGGCATGGCATGCCCGTCGGCAAAGGATTAATTCTTATTGAAAATTTACAAAACATTTGTTTTTGTGTCTAAAAAGTTGAGGATATCTAAAAACAACTTTTGTTTGCTCCAGTCTTCTGACCCTTTTGCTGATGGGCTTTATATAGAGGGGGATATTCTGTTTCTGGCAAACCCTACTACAATCATAATTCTAGATATACTGTGTTGACTCTCAATAGTATTATAAAGGATACAGAAAAAAACAAGACATATACAACATCATATTAACTTACATATACCAGTAAGGAGAGACAGAGCTGCTGCAGTGACTATTGCAGGAATATATGGATGTAACACATATTTTCCTAAAAATGATACCTCTGGTTTGCTTTGTTCTTCATTTTGTTGTTTTCCTGACAGACAGAATTTGTGATATAGATGTATTCCTGATACTCCAACCTGCAAGTAATATCAAATGAATCAAATACTTCTACAACTAATTGTATTCTTACTGGTATTTTAAAATATCTACTTTCCTGGAAATAAAACAAGTATCATAGTATTTCTGCAATTCACTAAAAATAAAGCAATACATACAGAAAAATGGGGCCCAGAACCATGATACATTATTTACTGAAAATCTGCTGTGTCAACATCAATGGTCATTAGCAGAATATATCAAAATATAGTTATAGGTTGGAGCTAGGGGGCAAAGCCCCTAGGTAAAGTTTTTGGGTTCACTAAGGCAATGTCTGTGGATTTCCTGAATGGTCAATGGTCAAATAAACAAATTTACCAGACTTCAAAGATTACACAGCATTATGATAAGGTATTGTGGGAAAAAGGGTAAATATGAGTTAACAATCTGATATGTGGACAGACGAAAGAGATGAAGAAGAGAAAGAAAAGGAAAGAGAGATGAAAAGACCCTACAAAATTAGCTGAGGTAAGGGTTCAGATCCAAGATAGGGGTGATCCCTACACTGAACCTCAGTCTCCACCTCCTAAGCCTCCCACAGCAATGAGCAAGGGATTGGGGGGGCCATGATACATTACCTTCCTTAGAACTGATAAACTTACATTTGTACAATTATGTACACATCCATGAGATACAGTATTAAGTTTCATCAAAAGAAATTTATGGAACAATAACTATCGTTTTAAGTAATTAGTGATTCTAAACAATATAAATTTGTGTTTTACAATTATTTTTCTAGTTTTATTAAACTACTTATAATAATTTTTGAGCCATTGGACTGATTGATGTTAGTCCGATGTTTCTGGGGATGGAACATGCATACTTTACACAAAGAAGGCTCCAAAAGTATTTAGTCACCAATGAGCCATTTACTAGGAGTATCTGTCTCACCTGTTTACCCTTTTCCTTGATTATCTGAATAAAAAAGAAAAGAAAGAAAGAAAGAAAAAAAAAACAACAACATTACTATTAGTAATGTGCATGTACATGGGTGTGCATGTGAATGTGTGTGTGCATGTGTGTGTATGTGTTTGTACATGTATATGCATGTGTATATGAATGTGTGTATGTGCATGTATATGTACATGCATGTGTGTGTATGTACATGTGTGTGCATGTGTGTGTGCATGTGTATGTGTGCATGTGTGTCTATGTGCATGTACATGTGTATGTGCATGTGTGTCTGTGTGCATGTACATGTGAATGTGCGTGTGTATGTCTGTGTGCATGTACATGTGTATGTGCGTGTGTATGTCTGTGTGCATGTACATGTGTATGTGCGTGTGTGTGTCTGTGTGCACGTACATGTGTATGTGCATGTGTGTGTCTGTGTGCATGTACATGTGTATGTGCATGTGTGTGTCTGTGTGCATATACATGCACACAGACAAAGAAAAGAAAGAAAAGAAAGAAAGAAAGAAAAAAAAAAAAACAACATTACTATTAGTAATGTGCATGTACATGGGTGTGCATGTGAATGTGTGTGTGCATGTGTGTGTATGTGCTTGTACATGTATATGCATGTGTATATGAATGTGTGTATGTGCATGTATATGTACATGCATGTGTGTGTATGTACATGTGTGTGCATGTGTGTGTGCATGTGTATGTGTGCATGTGTGTCTATGTGCATGTACATGTGTATGTGCATGTGTGTCTGTGTGCATGTACATGTGAATGTGCGTGTGTATGTCTGTGTGCATGTACATGTGTATGTGCGTGTGTATGTCTGTGTGCATGTACATGTGTATGTGCGTGTGTGTGTCTGTGTGCATGTACATGTGTATGTGCATGTGTGTGTCTGTGTGCATGTACATGTGTATGTGCATGTGTGTGTCTGTGTGCATATACATGTGCATGTGCATGTGTGTGTCTGTGTGCATGTGCATGTGTGTGCATGTAAATGTGTATGTGTGCATGTGTTTGTGCATGTACACATGTATGTGTGCATGTGTTTGCATGTGCATGTGTGTATGTATATGTGTGTGTGCATGTGTTTGCATGTGCATGTGCGTATGTGTATGTGTGTGTGCATGTGTATATGCATGTGTGTGTATGTGTATGTGTGTGTGCATGTGTGTGTATGAGCATGTGTGTGTATGTGCATGTGGTGTGCATGTGTGTGTATGTGCATGTGTGTATGTACATGTGTTTGTGCATGTGTGTACATGTGTGCGAATGTGCATGTGTTTGCATGTGCATGTGTGTATGCATGTGCATGTGTGTATGCATGTGCATATGTGTATGCATGTGCATATGTGTATGCATGTGCATGTGTATGTGCATGTGTGTGTGCATGTGTATGTGTATGTGTGTGTGCATGTGTGTGCATGTGCAAGTGTGTGTATGTTCATGTGTGTGTATGTTCATGTGTGTGCATTTGCATGTGTGTGCAAGTGCATGAATGTGCATGTGCATGTGTGTGTGTATGTGCATGTGTGTGTATGTGCATGTGTGTGCATGCGCATCTGTGTGCATGTGCATCTGTGTGTATGTGCATCTGTGTGCATGTGCATAAGCATGTGTATGTGCATGTGTATATGCATGTGTGTGCATGTGTATGTGTATGTGCCTGTGTGTGCATGTGCATGTGTGTATGCATGTGTGTGTGCATGTGTATGTGTATGTGTGTGCATGCGTATGTGTGTGTGCATGTGCATGTGTATGTGTGTGTGTGCATGCACATGTGTGTATGTGTATGTGTATGTGTATGTGCATGTGTGTGTATGTGCATGTGTGTGTATGTGCATGTGTGTGCATGCACATGTGTGTGTATGTGCATGAGTGTGCATGTGTGTGCATGCACATGTGTGTGTATGTGCATGAGTGTGCATGCACATGTGTGTGTATGTGCATGAGTGTGCATGCACATGTGTGTGTATGTGCACGTATGTGCATGTGTATGTGTGTGTATGTACATGTGCATATGTGTGTGTGTGTGTGTGTGTGTGTGTGTGTGTGTGTGTGTGTGTGTGTGTGTGTGTGTGTGTGTGTGTGTGTGTGTGTGAATGCATGTGTGTGCATGTGTGTGTACATGTGTGCGTGCATGTGTGCGTGCATGTATGTGTGCATGCATGCGTGTGCGTGCATGTATGTGTGCGTGCATGTGCGTCTGTGTTTGCATTTACACAGGCATGTGTATGTGTGTGTGTGCATATGAGTATATGCTTACTGTCTGTGCAAGAAATATGCTTCTGTATGTATTACTATGTTGTAGTAGATTTTGTCAAAAAAATTGGGTGGCAGCATGGTTAGGTACAGTGTTAGCAATATTTGAATTAATTCTATTTTGTGGTAAAATTTGTTGACTATATTCCTGCAGAGTAAGCTGGTATACTGTACATTAGTATTAGATTATATATATGCTGGCTAAACAATATATACCTGGAATGCTAACAGAGCCAAAAGCTTGGGTGTTGGGGTGCAGTGGGAGTATGCTTCATATAGCCCAGGACTACAAGCCAGTGGTATTAAAATGACCAGCCATAGTCCTGCCGAGGCATTACTGCTATAGAAAGAAAAAGTAAAAATCATTAATAAATATTTTCACTCACATCATCTAACAGTTAATTCACAACTGACAGGTACATGTACTGTCCACTGTAGTTTTCCACAAGCTCTTAATCACCAAGGAGTCAATTAGTAGACCTAACTGACCTAACTTTTCTAACCCAAAACCAACAGGCATGGCATGTACATATATGTTTATACCTCCACTTCTACTAAGTCACCAATGAGCCAATTATGAGCACTACTTCTCTCATCTGTTTTCCCTTTTCCTTTACTTAATATTATAGTAATTATAATGTCTATAACATAAATAACACCATCGATATTGATAGCACTACTAAAAAAAAAAATCTCCTGCAAAGTCAAGGAAAGGTAAAGTCATGTAAGGTCACAAGGTCTACTAATTGACTCCTTTCTGGCTAAGCACTAGTAGAGCCACCTATGAGAGACATTTGACAATTTTTTTTAAAATGAGCACAGCATTTTCCTGGCAGCACTGAGTTACCCTAATTGGCATGTATGGCAAGAATATTTGCCATGCCTACAAGTTTACTTATTGAATTTACACATAGATGGCTCTACAAATGCTTAGTTACCAAGGAGTCAGTTATTAGTACTACCTATCTCAATAACAATAATAACTGTATTGGTATGAACTGTATTAAAAAGAAAAACATTTTCCTGCCAATTCAAGGAATAGGGAAATCAGGATCAGTCACTAGGGTCTACTGATAGACTCCTTGCTGACAGCACACATGGTGTCATCTGTAAGAAAATCCACAAAAGACTACAGGAGACTAAACACAAATCTGGGTCGGTTGGGTTAACCCATTCGCCCCAGATTTATGTTCTGTTCCCTGTAATTTTTGGTGAATTTTGTTACATACAGATGGCTCCACATGTGCTCAGCCGACATCGGCCCTAATTACCGATCCTGATTTTTCCATTCCTTGAATTGGCGGGAAAAGTTTTTTTCTTATTAATACCATTGCTATCAATGTTATGATGTTATGATTATTAAAATATCATTAAAATATTTTAAAAAATGAAATGATACAGAAGACCCTTTCCTAAAGTGAAGGAAAAGGGTAAACAGGGGTGAGATAGGTAGTTCTGATAAACTAGCTATTTGGTGATTAACCCTTTCACCCCACATGGCAAGAATAGATGCCATACCCAATTTGATACACGTTTATCTATTGTATTTACACATAGATGGCTCCACAAGTTCTTAATCACCAAATAGCCAGTTATCAAGAACTACCTATATCACCTGTTTACCCTTTTCCTTCACTTTAGGAAAGGGTTTTTTGTATCATTTCATTTGTCTAAAATAATCTAATGACACTTTAATAATCATAATGCAATGGTATGCAATGGTATTAATTTTTCCACCAATTCAATGAATGTGAAAATCAGGGTCGGTAACTAGGGCCTACTGATAGACTCCTTGCTGGCTGAGCACACGTGGAGCCATCTGTAATGCCTCGGTGATTGCTGCAGTCCCACCGATCCCCTCACCCCTCAGCAGGTCAAGGGGAATGGTACCGGTCTGACAGATGGTAGACAGGACTGCATGCAAGCCCTTTGCCATAGGTTCTCCACCAGCCTTTAACAATTCAGCTGGGATGCCACAAACACCAGCTGCTTTTCCACTCTTCACCTTAGAGATCGCCCCTCTGACTTCAGTCAGGGAGGGTGGATCCTTGCTGATGGGTGGGGCAGGCAGAGGAATCTCAACATTATCCGCGTCCATGTTAACTGTTGGTGGATCAACCTGATACAACTGCTCAAAATACTCATGTATATACATATACACGCACCCCATCAGGATCTGAGATTATCTGGCCATTTGCTGAGCGGACTGCAGTCGTCTGTGAGGAGGGCTTGGAGTTCAGCTTTCTCAGGGCTTGGTAGGCAGGGCAAAGGTCATTTACTAAGAAATGGCTTTCGATTTCCTCTGCAAGATTCCTGATAAACTGTTCCTTATCCCTTCTCAACAGTGTCCTAGTCCTA